TGTTTGATGAGTGAATATGAATTAACACATGCATGAATGAATGAATGATCATATATCGAAGGAGCAAATAGAAAATATCATTTTCATTACTCTTACCAAATATGATTGATTCCATCATTATGAGCTTCCAAAAAGAGTTAATCCAAGCAATGCAAACAATGAATTACTGTGAAACCTTAGTTTTAACACTATTTTTGCTGCAACTAAGTGAAATCTTTTCTAGCTAGTGTAAGCAAAAATGAGGGCCTATTAAAAAAAGCTACAGAAGTGTCTCATGATCACAGATTTTACCCCTGACTTTAGCCATCAAGAATGTGTGTCATTGGTGAGGGGAGTGTTTGAGAGTTCCCATTTCTTTATATATTAGCCAATATTTGATATTTTAAAAAATTTTTATCAGACTAATCACTAGGTAATGATGTGTCAATGTCTTAACTCCAATTTCTCAGATTTAATTCATGTTACTTGGGATAAACATCTTAACATTTATTTCTTGGCAATCCGATTTCCTCTTGGGGAAATGGCCTGTTCTAATCCTTTGATTTGTTTTGTTTTTTAAATAGAGGTGTATAATTTTTCTTATTATTTCAAGTTCTTTCTGTGTTCTGGATACTAATCCGTTGCCATATTTATGCACTGAAATTATACTCTTCCTGAATGTAATATTTTCTTCCACTTTATTTAGTGTGTCTTTGGTTGAATAGAAGTTTTTTTGTGAATTTGCACTAGGTAAATTTATCAGTCTTTCCTTCTTACAAGTTGAGCTTTTTGTGTTCGTTTGAAAGAAATATTTTCCTACACTGAAGTCATAAATATATTCACTTACATTTTCTCTAAAAGATTATAGTTTTGCTTTTTCACATATAAACTTTTAATTTACCCGGAATTTAATTTTGTGTAAGATAGATAATTTGTGTAAGATAATTTTGTTATTTTAAATGAATTGCTAATTTTCCCAATACCATTTATTGAATAGTCCAGCATATTTCTAATATTTCGTAGTACGAAATATCAATGCTCTCATCTACATGTATGTCTATGGGCTGTATTCTGATCGATTGGACTATTTAGCCTTGTGCCAATACCATCCTGTGTTCATTGTAAAAATTATAATAGATAGTAGAATCAATAGAACAATCTAACAGAAAAAAATTCTTCTTCCTTGATCTCATTTTTCAAAATACTCTTGGCTGGTTTTGGCCTGCTGCTCTCTAAGTGAGCCAGTCAAGTTTTATTTTCCTCATTAATGAGAATTGCTTTTAATTTATAAATTAATGGAGAGATAATTAAGATTTATACCATTTAAGTCTTCTCTAACATGAACGTAGTATACATTTCTATTAAAATTCACTATATCTTTAAATAATGTTTTTTTTAAATGCTTGTACATTTTAAAGTTAGACTTATTACTTGGCAGCTTATAGTTTTTGTTATTACAAATGGCGTTTTTTCATATTTTCTCATTTATCATTACTGGATTTAAAGGAAGGCAACTCTCATATTTCTTCTGATAGTTTGTCTCTGAATTCTCTTGAATTTTCTATGAAGATAATAATATAATGATATAATGTACAAATAAGGACATTTTTGTCTGTTTCATTCCAATTCTTTTTTTCCCCTTCATTTTCTTGGGCAATTGCATTAGCTAAGGCCATCAATACAATAGTGAATAATATTAAATAATAAAGGTAAAAATAAGAACCTTTTTCTTACTTCTGTCATAAAAATAGCTTCTAAAATTTTACCATTAAGAATAGTGTTTGCTGTAGGTTTTTGATCATTTTCTAGGTTAAGGAATTCTCTTTTATTCCTAAATTGCTAAACTTTCTTGCCATTAATGAGGATTATTTTATGGAATTCTTTTCTGCATCTATTGAGATATTATCATTGCTTAATGCCGTTTATTACATTAATAAATTTCCTAATATTGAAGCATCCTTGAATTCTGGGATGATATAGATGATTTAATAAATGATTTATAGTCATGCTCTAAAATGAATAATAAAACTTCACTGAGCATAACGAATTGGGTGAAAAGCACTTTGATTTAGTGAAAAGGTTAAAGCAGCATTGTTTTTCATGAAATATTAACTCATATATTGATCAGCACTGTCAGGAATTTTTTTTAATGGAGTTTTATTTATTTCAGTTACGTACTATACCTATGATAACAAGTGGAAGTGCAGTGTTGTTTTAACGACCAAACCAACGAATCTATAATTTTCAGCATGTTTTTCTCCAGAATAATTAATAAGCTAGAATTTTTGCTTTTGAAGTAGATTTAATGTGTTGCTATGATTTTGCTTAGCAAACATTAACCCCTTAAATTATGGCAAATTTCAGGCCAACTCGGATTTGAGTAAAATATCTCATGTTCCAGGTTGTTAGAGTTTGAAATAATACACGGTTTTACTGTATGCTTGCAGTTTTGGGGAAAGGAGAGGAAGAAATCCCTAATTCTGACCTATATTGCTGAAAGCATTTATTTATCCGTTGGGAGATTTGCATTGCCTGAAATTCACTGTTGACAATGTTCTCTTCCCAGTGTTATCTTGCCATGGATGTCACAACTTAGAACACTTTGAAAGAATTTGAGAGACAGATCTTTTACTTACTGAGCTAACCAGTAGCTGACAGGAAGTTTTTAGTATTGCCTCTCATGTCACTGAGATTTCTTTTGAGCTTCCGTATTGAATATGCTCCAGCATTCCAAATGTGTGTACAAGACTTTGTCTCTAGGGAGTGGATAACAAAGCTTCTAAAAGCTCTGGTTCAATTCTTCTTTAATGTACTGGACGGCTGCAACTGTTCCCTATCTATGTGCACAGCCCATTCTTTAGATCTAGCTTGATTCCCAGTTTAATGTTTTGCTTAACCTCCCTTTGACTGTCCTTTGTCATTTTGCATTGGGAAATCAATATCTACAAATATTTATTCTGTGGTCAAAATGGTGTAGGATATCATAGTTCAGATAAGAACATTTTCCTCCCATCTCCAAACATTTCCTTCTCTCTTCTTTTGCTTTCTGTTCTTCTGTCTACTTTTACTGCCCCCACCTTCTCTTTCTGCCTTGAATTTATCAAAATAATGAAAGATGTTTTATTCCAATGAAGGTATAAAGAGACATATCATTGCTGACCTTTTTATATATGAAGAAAAGTTAAACAGTTTTGTTTTATAATAAGCAACATATCCTCTTTCAAGTGTCAGCCCAAATTTTACAGTTACCAAGAAAAAATATGTATAGTAAAAGTTGAAATGGGGTCAATTAGTCTAAACATAGCAAGACCAAGAAAAGTATCTTTCACATATACTGACAGCGTAAACCGAATATTATTTGATAGCTTATGGAATCCTAACCCATACATATTAATACATAGGCAACCAATATCAATTCAAAACATACAGTGTCAAATATGGCATCATTCTCCCTTCTCCTTCCTAACCTAAATTGCGTCCAAAGCAATTCTTACCTATATTTTTTATTCATTTACTAAAAGGTACACATGAAGAAATTCAATTGAAAATTTAATTATAGTTGGCAAATTCTTTAACACTAGCAACCATAACATATGTAATACAAATAAAATATACCAAATTAATTATATTAACTCTGCTCTGACCCTTGGGCTATTTATAAAATTTCTGCTACTTACCTAAAAAAAATTAGGCAGTTTATGTTAATATAAAGTCAATAAATACTTCAGTGTTCACCATCCAAATCTGACTGCACTGGCTATGTTTTCTTAAGGAGAAAATAAGAGATGGGAAGAAGAGATGGACTGTGTGCTATGATGAATGCATCAATGATGTGACTGACCTAATGGGGCTGAGTTAGGTTTCTCTTTGCTATCAGTGGAAGAATGAAGAAGTATCAGTAGAATAGCACATGTTTATTGGTTGCTTACTGGGTACCAGGCACTGAATTCTTTCTAAGATGGAGTGGCATAGGTACTGTTATTAATCTCCCTTATCTAGATGTGGAAACCAAGCTTTAGAGAGGTTAAACGCCTTGCCTCAGTCCACACACGCAGAAAACCAGGATTCAGCTTCAGCCAGTCAGTCGATTCCAACCCCTTGGTGCTTTAGCACTGATTTATAATTGGAGAAAACTAGAAGAGAGTTTAAGATGTACATCATGTTATTTTAAGGAGGGTGGACATGTAGTTTGAGAAAAAGGACTGTTTCTTATAAATGAAACAACTAGAGCAAAACCTTGATATTAAATAAAAATATTAGGTTAATTTTCTCTTAAATGACTGAATGTATGTTTATCAGCAGAACAGTTCCTGACACATGGTAGCACTCAATACACTGAGCTCTGGTATCAGTTAGAATTTCATGTGATAAAATTTGGAAACGAAAGTTTAAATCAGTGAGGATCTAATCTCAGAAAATAGAAGTCTGGTCTGCCAGAGGGGTTCAAGGAAATTGTTAAAGATGAGGGCTCTTCGGGCTTCCTGGGTGGGCCATCATTCTTAGCCCTTGGAATTAAATTTTGAGAGAGGTAAAGGTTGGGCGACAAATTCACAGAAACCTCTGATTCAATACCAACAAAAAGATCCCAGGGCTCTACAGCCCGGTGGATCGCTGGTTTCTAGTTTGAAATCCCGTAACACAGGTTGGTGCATGCAGCTCAGTGGGCTGGGATTACGCCATGTGTCTGCCAAGAACATCTAATGAAAACCAGCTGCTGAGTAATTAGAGAAAGCGTCTTTGCAGGTAGGCGTTGGGTCGGCTCCTCCAATACCTGTTATCACGTGGGAAGAGAAGGTTGGAGCCCCGGGTTCTGACCCGAGATCGTAGAGGAGGGGCGCGCGGAACGCACCGCCTCCAGGCCCCGCCCCCTATGGCATGGCTCCGCCCACAGATGCTCCGGGTCCCGGGGCCGCCTGGAAAACGGAGGCCAGGGGCGGGGCTCACCCTTGCCCCCCGGGTCCCTCGGGTTCCGCCAATCAGCGAGCGCCCTGTTGGCCATCCGCAGCTCCCGCGCCCCTCCCCCTCCCGCCGGCCTCTGCTTTCCAGAATCCAAGATGGCGGGATCCAGGCAAAGGGGTCCCCAGGCCGGAGCTCGGCCGCTTTTCTGCGCCCTGCTGTTGTCGCTCAGTCACTTCGTCGGGGGCGACGGCGTGGGAGGCGACCCCGCAGCCGCTGGTGCCACGGGCACCCCAGGCATGCTGCCACATCGGCGTTTCGAATACAAATACAGCTTCAAGGGGCCGCACCTGGTGCAGAGCGACGGGACCGTGCCCTTCTGGGCCCACGCGGGGAGTAAGCCGGGGCAGAGGGCGGGGGGCCCGGGTCCCATCCTCGCCTGGCGCCTCCTTCTCTTTACCTCCTCCCCGCTGCACACCATATGCGCGGTGGAGGGAAGCCTTCTCAGCAGTCCCTCCGGCAGGTCGGCTCTGTCCACCAGGTTCCCTCCCCCTGGCCCCCCGTCTTCCTCCCATTCTGTCCACTCCCCTTCCTCCTATGCGTTCTTTGATCTCGTCCGTTCTTTCCGTTTGCTCTAGAGGTGTTTTGTTACTTCTTACAATTCCAAGCACTCCTTAAACTCGGTTCTAGGCATCCCGTTTCACCCTAACGCCACGTCTCCAGGGCAAACGTCCTGCACCCCCAACCAATCCCAACCTGAGACATGCACTAGCAGCCCCCCACCTCCTTTCCCGTTTCCTCTCGGCCCTTCTCTGCTCTTCTTTTTTTTTAAACCCAGTGTTAGCCATGGTTACTGTTCCTGTTTGTACCCGATGTCACTCTGTCAGCTCCACACATGATATATCTTGGTTTTAGAATAATTTTTAAGTTTTTATGTCAGAGAAACTTCTCATCCTATTGGAAGGTTACCTCAGATTTACCCTCGCAGGGACTTGGTGTGGTCTTTGATCTTTCTTCTTGTATTAACACTTTATTTAACTACTAGTCACACTTGTCCCTTTAGTAGAGGAAGGGATATATTTTGGGGTATTGTTTCAGAACATGAGACTAAAAATAGCATAATTGCAAACTTTTTTGGAAAAATCGAAATAACCTGTGTTCCATGTTTTATTCAACTCTGTGTTTGGCACTGTTGATAGATCAGAGCTTGTCTTGCTAGACGTTTATATATGTGAAAGAAACATATCTATACTTTAGTGCTGATGTGTCACTGCTGACTAAGGAATTGGCCTTAGCACTTGACAGGTTGTAAGCTCTGTTCAGTGACCATTAGATGCACCCTTTGAAACAGGTGGCAAATGCCTTTATATGGATTGAGAAGCTCTGGCACTTTGAATTCCATCACTTACTAAGAAATTTCTATAAGATTTGTATACATCATTTTAGACTGTCCATCGCTTAAAACAAAATGTCCCATTTCTAGACTGTAATTCTTGAATAGGAAGCAGACTTCTAGGAAGGGCATTTCACTGAAATTAATGTATAATTAAAAGGCATAAATTGCAAATTGACTTAATGATTAAGTCATTAAGTAGTTGAAGTGGAGTGCAATTATTTTATTACTCAGCAGACATTAATTATGTGCCTGCTCATCAAGGGTATGTTTCTGGGTACTTGTTATTAGGGTACCGTTCTTAATACACAAAGGTGATGCAGACGTCCCAAATACAAGTTTAGGGTTTTTTTGTTTTTCTTTTTGGAATGATGATGATTTTCAGTAGTGGTGATGAATTCATAACACTTTTTTTCACCTCTGCATCTCCATGGCCTGCTTGCTCATTCTTCTCTCATGGTTACACCACCTACTTAGCCAATCAGGAATGTTAATCAACTACTCAAATTAGTTAACGTTCTTTACAGAGCCTATAACCAACTGTCTGCTGCAGAAATGTCAGATAATGTATCTGGGTGAATTAAAGTTGTATGGCTAGACTGGATTTGAAATAAAGGGATTAGTGTTTTAGCCATGACACTTCTATCTACTAACTCGAGGAATCACTGCTGTGGATGTCCCTTGCTTTCATTGTCGCTGTAATTTTTACAGTCTCACTGTTTTATTAACTACATGTATTATTTTTCACCTTTTCATGTCCTGAGATCCATCATGTAAAACAACTTTGAAAAACAGAAAAATGTAAGATTTAGTTTAAACATGGCCTTTTACATTCATTCTCAAATTAAGATCAAATCTATGGTTTTTTTCCCTTAACTCTAATGCCCTTTTGTACTGTAAGTCCACACCCTTGAGTCCATAAGGGCAAAAAAAATAACAATTTGTAACCTTTTCTGTCTCTCAGAACTCTTTCACCTTCATTCTTATTTGATCTTCAGTAGGCAAGGCAGGTAAAAAAAACCAAAATGTTAAGAAAGGTTAAGGTCCTTGGACAAGGTTACATAGCTAGTGTACTGGAACTCACATCCAGGTCTTCTGACACTATATCCACTACTCTCTCCAGGATGCTTGCCCTCAGCCGTTAAGTGTTTGAAAGTGATGGTAACAAACAGTAATTTATCTTAGTATCTCAACTTTTCTTTTCGTCAGTTTTTTTCATCCGTAAAGAGATAATACAGTTATTTCCGAGCATGGATGTCAGAACTGGTTAATATCTGAATTGTTCAAAGTTAGACCTGATAGTTGCTTTAATAATTATTTAGTTCAATAATAGGACTAGCTAACATTTGTTGACATATTTATATATACTTATATGCGCATTTATATGTCTGTGAGGTTGTTAGAGGAATGGGGTAACTTGCCTATAATCAAACAACTGGTAAGTGGTAGCACTGGAACTTGAACCCAGCTTGGAGATGCAAACCACCATTTTGGGGATCACTTCTCTCTGAGAATCTGCTAATGCTGAAGAACTGTTTATTAACTTGAAATGCAGTTGCCTCTCTCCCTAGAAGACTGTATATATGCACAATATTTTGCATATAACTTCTGGGGTGTTTGTGGGAGTGATTGAGTCCAGCCCCTTCATTTTACAGGTGAACATATGGTGAGCCCAAGAGAGTAAGAGAATTATTTGCCCAAAGTCACACAGCTGAACTGAGACTAGGAATAAGTCTCTTGATTCCTAGTGGTATGTTCTTTTCACACTGTTTGAGCTTTCTAAACATTTGTAAATTGGTAAAATACATTGCAGTTTTTTGAAAATAATATGCAAATTTTGGGCGTATTTGAAAAATAATATTACAAAAATCAAATATTTGGTTGCCTTTTAAGCCATAGTTTCCTCCTTTCTGCCCCTTGAATTTTTAGTATATGGTTACAGCTTTTTTTGTGTTTTGTGTTTTTTGTGGTTTGTTTGGGGTTTTTTTGCATAGATATATCACTATTCAAAATAGAAGGGGGGGTGTTTAGAAAGCCCTAAAATGTAAAAATTGAAACTGTCAACATGAAATTTTTTCCTAACAAAATTACTGTACAGGTTACTGAGTTAAAATTAGATCTCTAAGTATATGTATCAGTTTGGTGATGATTCATTGAGTTTTGCCTAATTATAACTTAAAGTTTTTCTTCCCTGATTTTTGTTCTAGATGCTATTCCAAGTTCAGATCAGATTCGAATAGCACCATCTTTAAAAAGCCAGAGAGGGTCTGTATGGACTAAGACAAAAGCAGCCTTTGAAAACTGGGAAATTGAGGTGACATTTCGAGTGACTGGAAGAGGTCGAATTGGAGCTGATGGCCTGGTATGATCGTTTCTGTAACTTAGAAAATGTATATAAATGCATATACCACCAGCCTCTGAATGTTCCCTGTTCTATATTGACAGGCAGTTTGGTATACAGAAAATCAAGGCTTGGAGGGTCCTGTGTTTGGATCAGCTGATATGTGGAATGGTGTTGGAATATTCTTCGATTCTTTCGACAATGATGGAAAGGTATATTCTTTAAGACTGTTACCCACTTTAATATATCTGCTAACAGATTTAAGCTGTGAGAAATACAGCTTATTTAACACTCTTGTCAGTTTAATAGGAGAGAACTTCCCAAACTAAGTTAGGTGATTGATCTTTATGTAGCTGGGAATTTATCAATTTAAAGCTATGAGTTCATGATTTGTCATACTGCAACGTGAGGTCCTGATGGAGCCCTGACTCTAAGAATTTGCAAGGCCCCCATCCCCAGCACCCTGTATGCGTGTAGTAATTTTGATGAATAAGCACGGGTCATTTAGATGTGGGTAATGAAACCAGTAGTGCTTAGACTAGACTATTACAGTTATCATGAAAATACCCATGTGCTTTACTACTACTGGCTCACATGTTATCTTTTCATATGTTATTACTCTTTTCAATGAACCAATTTCTCTGATGATCTCTCCTAAAACAGTTAAGTACAGAACGTACTTACAAATCAGAAACACTAACTTGTGCATGAGCAGCAGCCTTAAGATTGAAAATCTTTGTATTAGCTTATAGTTTCTCTACTGGGTCACTGTTAGCAGTTTACAGGAGAACTTTAATAAACTCCTTGAACGCCACAGCGATGTTGCTTAACTCTATAAGTCCCATGCTTGTCCCATGCTCACAGCGTGTCCTCAACGTGTGTTGAGGTTGGTTATTCAAGGACAGGACACATCATCAGCCTTTATTGAGGTGTATGGGACTGATTTTAAGTGATTGTAAGTGCTAAATTTTTTTTTAGTAAGTAGAAAGTTATTATTTTAAAATTTGGGGTCCTAGAATTTTAGTGATTGAGACCTTATAGCACATCCAGAATGATGTACAATTCTTTAAGGGCTTTAAAACAAATATATTCTCTTTATTTTTAGAAAAATAATCCTGCTGTAGTAATTATAGGCAACAATGGACAATTCCATTATGACCATCAAAAGTAAGTGTACTTTATTTCTGATCTCACCTTCTTTTCGAAAACCTTTTAAAATATATTGTTTCGAATCTGAACATTTTCCAGGTGAAATAAGATTATTCTTTTTCTTGCAATTTATTTTATAGCTTGGTGAAAAGGTCTTAATTTGGTTCTGTTTTAAACTTCTTCCTGTGGACCACCTCAGATTTCATACATAAAAACATGTTGTTTTATTTAACCTAAAACTACATAATTTTAAAGGCTTATAAAGCATTCATCTTCTCAGTGGCACCACTAGTAGTGTTCTCTCACCTTTATTAAGAGGAATCTGAAAAGTTTGGAGCCTTGACTAAACTAATGATTAAGAAATTTATGCCTAAAAAAAAAAGTTAAAAAATAAATAATAAAAAATTAAAAAATAAGAAGAAGAAGAAATTTATGCCACTGTATTCAGTCTTAGTATTGCTATATTTAAAGGTTCTCAGGGTGACAAAGCTTCTGTTTAATATATTTGTAATGTGTATGAAAAATTACTTATCCAAATTCCTGTTTACTGTTTCCTGCTTTAGTGATTTTTACTCTGGTAGTTACCTTTGGAGCCAGTTCAAGTAGAGATTCCAAGGCCTTCTCCTGTGATTCTGCTTCAGCTGCTTTAGGGTGGGACCTAGGAATCTGCATTGTTGAAGCTCCACATGTGACTCCAATTCTGTGCCCTGGTCTTACGTAGATCAGTGCGCCTGCCCTGGCCATCAGCATGTGGTAGCGTTGGCGCCTAATGTTATCCAGAGCCCTGACCGGGGTCACAGGAAAAACTCCTGCATCAGCTTTGCATCTTCTGAATAAATAACTTCAGATTTCCCAAGACTTTGTCGTAACTGGATACTGTTTTAATCTTTCCAGACACTAATCATTTTAAATAGTGAGTTTTTAAATATTGAAAAGCTTAAGTTCCTTGTTTGTTTTGCTTTCCCTTATACTATAGTGATGGCGCTAATCAAGCTTTAGCCAGTTGCCAGAGGGACTTTCGTAATAAACCGTACCCTGTCCGGGCAAAGATTGTGTATTACCAGAAGACGTTGATGGTAAGTAACATACATTTCGAGATAATTAAATGAACAAGATTCTAGTATGCGTTTTCATTTTGAATCTTCGATAGAAATGACATGAATTTAAGTTCGGATGTTGTTCATGTCCTCAGCAGTGTAACTGTGAGAAAGCAGAAGTGGCTTCAGGGCTCCACGTGAGTGGCCGTGTGCGGTAAATAAAGCCTTGCGGCTGAGTTTGCTTCTAGTCAGTAAATGTTGATAAGCACCCTGCTATGTGCCACCTGTTATGTACGTGTCTAAGCCTTGAAGATACAGGTATAAATAAGGCAAAGGGAATTTTCTTCACAGAGCTTGTCATCTGCTGGGGAGACACGAATGTAACATTACTGTGCTTTGTGATGAATACTGCAGCACAGATACCACTGAAGGATCAAAGGGTTAGAACCTTGTGGCTGCCAGGTGGCCGTGGCGAAGGCCAGAACAGCTCCTCACAATGCAGCTGCCCCTCGAAGGGGAAGAGGGAGTCTCCTAGGTGGGGTGCAGAGAAAATGGGCACAGGGACTGTTGAAAGATTCGGGAAAGGCGAGTAGTTTGACGTGGCTGACGGGTAGAGAAGACTATAAGAAGTGAGGTGAAAGGTTGGCAGTCAAATCTTGTAGGTCTCGTGTAGTTTATCTTGTAAGGAACAATTTAAAGAGTCTTAAGCAGGAAACTGAAGATCAGATTTGCAGTTTAGGAAGAAGCCTTAGGCAGCAGTGTTCTTATAACAGTATTTGCGGAGGAGTGAAGGGGACGATCATTTAAACTCCTTGACTTTTGATGAGCTGTACCCTGTGCTTGGTGCTTTACATGCAGTTTCTCGTTTATTCTTCACGAGCCCTGTGGGGTGGGCATCCCCATTTTATACATGGGAAAATTGAATGTGGGAGGTTTCAAGAAACTTGGACAGTGTCGTACCAAATAAGTAACAGAACTGATTTGAACCCAGCAGTGTCTTAACTGCAAGACCCGCTTGTGGTCTGAACTGAGGCAGAGGGGAGGGGATCCGGGGGCGGGGACTGGAGCAGTTGCTGCTGGTTTGCTGGGGGCAGGCGGGTGAGTGCAGCTGTGGGGTCAGAGGTGGTCCCTGAATTTCTGGCCACTTATACAGTGAAGCGGTACCATCAACTAGCCGAGAAGCAGCACATTTGTTTGTGTTTGAGGGAGGAATGGGACGGCAGGGCAGTCACAATAACTAAGATCACAAATACTGTGTGAACTCTGCTTTTTAAAGACACCGTCGATACCTGGTTATATGATACTTACAAGTAAAACATTTTTTATAAATTTTTCTTTCCCCTAAATCATGGGCTAGCTTTGCACTCCTTTGTATAAAACTCTTAAAAAGGCAGTTCTTTGGAAAACTTCGTATTGGCATAGTCTTAAATTCCTAACTAATTGAGAGACCTCAGCGTAGAGGAAGTGTCCAGTCTTTTGTGTTTGCCTTGGATCTGCACTGCACTGTGATGATAGTCACCCTGCGCGATTTCAGTGGTGTCGTCAGTAAGTCACACTTACTTTCACATGGCAGAACCCAGACACCAACTATGGCAAGTGCAGACACACACTTGAGTTCACAGAGCACAGGGAGGCGGCCTGCATGACCCAGCTTAGTGAGGTGGTGCACCCTCCCAGAAGTCCCCAGAACAGCAGTCCTGTGCAGTGTGCTCCCGGAATAGTTGCACAGTCACATGAGATCGGGCCCAACTGTGCGCGTTAGCACAGAAGATGGGAAGCGCTGAAATGCAGAAACCTCATCAAGCCGCACGTTCGTCAGACTCACCCGACCACGGAATCCTGTTCTCACCCAGTACCTACGAGTGTCTCCAGAGCGAGTGTTCTGGAGAGTACGTTTGAGGGAGACTTGGCAGGACACACAGCCGTGACTTAACGTCCCAGCCTTTGCTCAGTCCGTTGTCCCTTCTGGGGTGCTCTCCCCTCTCTGCCTGGCAGAGTCATGCTCGTTCTTGAACACGCTCATTTGGATCCCTCATCATCAGATTTCCCAAACATCAGCTCATAATTTCCTATCTCCTAACTCAGTTTTGTTTCTATAATGCTCATTTGGCCTTTAAAATATGTCGTATGGACTTAAGCAGTCAACTATGGTTTGTATGTCTTTTCTCATCAATATTATCTTCAGTTACTCAGTGCAGGCATAACAGCCCGTATTCCTCGTCCCTATATTATGCCATTTTAGGTACTCAAGGAAGGTTTATTAGATTAGTACTCACACCCTTAACTTGTCCCAGGGTTTGAACTTCAGAGGGAAAAACAAAGTAAGGGGAACAAGAGATGCTGTTAGTGAAGGAAACAGTCAAAACAAGAGATTTTTAAATTTTGCAAGTGTAGTATTTAACAGTGGGTCGAAACTTTAAGATGAGTGAGGAAGGTTAGCGGTGACCTCACGAAGAAGTGTCACTGGTGTTGGTCACCGGACATCAGACCTGTGCAGTCACGGTCCTAACTTTCCTCCTAACTCAGAGCAGCGAATATATTATCCCTCCCTGCATTTTTTTAAAAAAATAATTAGAACTAGACAGTCAAGACTTCTAATAGATTTCAGTTTGTCAGGGTTCAAGAAAAAAAAAATGGACTGAACAGTTGAATATTTTTAGTATCAGAATTAAAAAATGATTAACTTAACACCTTTGTTTTTTAGCTCTTGAGGGCAAATGTCCTACTAATTGTTGATTCTGATTTGAAAGACTGTAAAGGAGAACCATTCGTAGATGATGTAAACTGTAATAGGAGCATTACCAATCCGGGAAACAGACACAAATGTTAGTCAACTAAATGGCAGGTGATTTTTAAAAACTGGTAGGAGTCCATCCCATATTGTATAGAGGTCGACCCTTCATACGGACAGGTACCTAACTCTCTTACTGAAAATTTGGACAGAGTACTGTAACATTTTTCCCGTGCGACTTAACCTTAACTACACTGACAAAACCTTGCATCTGGAAGTAACGGTGGCAGTGCCCTGACTGGCGCCACGTACCTACTGCTCCTTTCCCTTCCACTGTTGACCTCAGAGACTCCTGCTTAGGGTGGGGCCAGTGATTGGGTTGCTGGAAGTGGAAGCGTGGAAGAGGCTGGACCGCTGCTTGACTGGGATCGTGAGCAGAGTGTTCCTCTGCTTCTGTAGGATGCCAAGATTCTTTAAAGACGTTTACGGCTGTTACTTCAAATATACGTTCTGCAGGGTAGAAACTTATGTGTCTTTTTACTGTTTTAACTTCTTGCCTCTTATGTGAATACATTTGCTGTCTCTGCTAACTTATGACGGTCTAATTACCTTCCTTCACTATTTGCTAAGGCAATCTATTGAATCCTCAACTAGCTGTCGTCAAAATTATAACTTCAGCATGTTCATTTTAGCTTTGTCACCAGGGTTTCAGAACAAGTGTGATCTCCCTTCTGTGTGAATCATTTGCAGAAAGTAATCATGTTCCCTAAGTCTTCTCAAGAGAAGGTAACCCATATTCTATTTTAGAAAGATTTTCATGGAAAGATATCAAATTTTTCTCATTCAGACTTTGACACATAGTAGGGTAAAAACCACTTTCTTAAGGAAAATATCTTGTTTAATGTATTAATATCTTGTTTAAGTGAGGTTATTTAATGGACAAGGAATTACCCTTTATAATAAATAATGGGAGAATGCTGATAGCTTTGGCTGTTGATTATTAGACCAGATATAGAGATCCAGTCATAAATTGATTATTGGAAATTCTTTTTACAATATCTGTTGTAAAAGCTATAACTACAATATGTCTCTCTAGGTAATGATCAATAATGGCTTCACACCAGATAAAAATGATTATGAATTTTGTGCCAAAGTGGAAAATATGATAATCCCCCCACAGGGGCATTTTGGAATATCTGCTGCAACTGGAGGTCTCGCAGGTAAATCTTGCTGTCTTTTAATATTATACATTTGTGAGTTGAGTTTTATTAGGAATAGTGTATTTTGGAGATGTATAGCCTTGTTTACTTTCAATATTTGAAGACTAGTTATAAGCTTCCCATAGCTTTCAGTCCCAGTCTTTTGGTCTCTTGGAATTGCTGATCTTCTGCTTATATTCTGCAGGTGTGCAGTTGGCTGGGGCTGCATACAGTTATGTAAATTAGAGCATCACTTTGGGTGCTATTTTATAGTGAAGGAGACATGTAAAGTTAAGGCTACAGAAGGTTAATTGTCAAATAGTTTAGGATCCTGAGAGTTGTCACAGTACATTTAAATAAATGGGTAGCCTGAGAAAATATTATTGGGGTCTAAACTTTAAAAAAGTTTTACCATTTTTTGCCTTAAGCATGATGATCAATGAAGTTATTTGATGTTAATACCGTCTTCTGTTTATATGGTACAATATATAAATTTATTATTTTCAAATATCTAAATTGTTCTTTACAATGACATAGGGAGGGAGAGGATCATATTTACCCTGTTTTTAGATGCGTTTGCCAAATCTTGGATTAAAGGACTTTCTAAAGATCCCATGGCCAGTAATGGTCAGACTCCGGCAGGACTTGGCGTGGATTTCTGACTCCTGGGTCCAGTGCTCTATTACGCTGCACAGCTTCTCCCACAGTCACCTACCCTAACCATGGCGTTGCAGTTTGCCGTTAATCTGGCTACCTACCGAGAGCTCCATAATAGTGGCAGAAAGCTTAGGGATTGCCACACAGTTGAAATTAATTGCTTTTACTTTGAAGATATGACTAACCAGGGTTGGTATTTTAATTTGATGTTATGAGGTTTGATCTGATAAGTCCTTGTTTTGAGCTTAAAACAGCTTGAAATTAATTTGATTTTTAATATGATTTTTTTTAAATAAAATTGTTCATATCTGCTGTTGAGGGAAACAAATTTGCATGATGTAATCATATTATCTAAATCAGGATGCTTTGAGAACAAAAGAAGATGCCATTAGTAATTCCAGGACACAGGTAAATCAGGACTGCCCCAGTAAGCAGGACAGAGCAGTGCCATGTTTACGACAGGACAGTGAGGCAAGAAGTGGTAAGTGCTGTAGGAAAGGTTTAGAGACAATAGGTACAGGAAGTAGGTGAAGGACCAGATTTTGTCTCATTTGCCTGGGACGTAGTCCATGGAGATCCATGGGAAAATGCGGGAGGACTTTGGTACCAGGGTTCAGAGTTTAGGCTTGTTTTGTTTGTTCATTCCCTTATCAGACATTTATTAAACATCTGTTATGTGTTTAACACTTAAGAAAGTGAATTTTTGCTTATTTCTAATGTCTTTCAGATGATCTTTGTCTCTAAGTTCACAGAGCACCATTGCATTTACAAAATTAGAGCTGATTTTTCTTATCTGTCATTATTTTTTAAAGAAATAGATATCTACAAAGTAGATTCACAACCATAAAAATAACCTATTATGGAACTTTTTCAGATTTTTTTTTTTTTTTTAATTTGTAGATGACCATGATGTCCTTTCTTTTCTCACTTTCCAATTGACTGAGCCTGGGAAAGAGCCAGTAAGTATAAACAGTTTTTTCAAAAAGTTTATTTTCAGTTTAGTAGTATTGCCTCATAGCTGAAAACTTGGGGAGACTGCGTTAGGTTTGACTCTTATTTCTGCCTGTTACTGCCATGTGACCTTGTGCAAGTTACTTAGCCTCTGTAATGCTCCATTCTTCACGAGTAAACAGATGTTCATACTGGCCATCTCATGACGTTTGTAAGCGTTGAATAAGGCATTGCACTTCTAGCAAGCACTCAGTAAATGGTAGTGGCCCTTTTTTTTTTGCCGTAATTATTAGTAGCAAAAGTAAATTGGTTATGATTTAAATAAATTTTTTTGTTAACATTTCAAATAATGGTATTTAAAAGGAGGAAAAATATATATTGAGATTTATTATTTTTTAACATTTTTAATATATTTTTCAATGATCTGTCCTTAAACGCCACAAAAGCCTACACCAGATAAAGAAATTTCAGAAAAGGAAAAAGAAAAATATCAGGAGGAATTTGAGCACTTTCAACAAGAATTGGATAAGAAAAAAGAGGAGTTCCAGAAGGGTCACCCGGACCTGCAGGGGCAGCCTGGTGAGTTGTGGCGAAGCTGTCCCCGGGGCCGCAGCGGTAGGCACGGCGCGTGGGTCACCTCACACGTTCATTCACCTCGTCCTCTCTCTCTCGTCTGGCACATTCCAAGTAATTTCCGGAAATAATTTGTAAGCAAATCCTCAGTCTTTAAAGGGCTGGGAAACCGGATGTGATGGAGTGGGGTGTGCAGTAAGGGCTACCGTGGTGACCCGTGTGAGCAGTGGCCCACTGCAGTGAGCCCATGAGGACAGGGACTTCGTTGTGTTCAGTGCTGTGTCCCCTAAACTAACTAAACAACAGTGCTGTACAACAGTAGTTGAGAGTCAGTAAATATTTGTTGAATGAAGCCATCCAAACTCTATTTCTTTACTTTTAGTGGCACATAATTACCTTATTATTACAGGGACAATACTTGGAAACCATCAAAACTGTTGTGAGAATGATTTTAAGCGGTTATCTGGCTCTCCTCCCCTTACGCAACAGAATCTCAGACGTGAAGATTGAGAATTTTAAACTTTAGTCTAAGCAGGCCACTGTGACGAAATGCTAAGTGCACTACATGTCGCAGATAAAACATGTTAGGGCCCAGTAGAGTGACTTTATTTTGTCTGCTAACGTTCGTTATATGGGCTGTTTCCCCATCAAACTCTATGTGGTATGTGATTCTCTAAGTGATCGACCATGTGAGGCAGACTTAATGAAGCTAAAAATGAAAAATACATTTTATTCTTTTCTTGTATTTGTTTTAAATGTAATGTGTGACTTGTGAGTATATCCTGAAGCTTATTGTAATAAGTGTTTGAACGAAATAATCTGTTTTCAGCATGGTCAGGTATAAAAGGAAAATCAGGTCTTCTCCACTCCATTTCTTAATCTTTACGTAAGTAAAATGCACACATTTTAAGAGAATGGTTTGACGAATTTTGACAGATGTGCATGCCCGTTTAACCGTCACCCAAATCAGTGCGCAGAATATTTCGTATCACCCCAGACGTTCCCTCGTGCCTCTTCACATCAACCCTCCCTCCCCAGAGGCAACCACTATTCTGATTTCTGTTACATAGGTTAGTTCTGCCCACGCACATGAATAGAATCACACAGTATATTTGAAAGAGAAAATGATTTTTAGGTGAAAAAATTCAGACCAAATTTATAATAAATTTTCACCCACCAGAGATGTCTAGAACAAATCGTAACTTAATCATGATTGAATTAATTATCTCTGCATGTTCGATGTCAGGGAGGTCATATCACTGTTGTTGATGTTCTGATTTTAGTATGTGTCGTTACTTTTGTCACTTATGGTATTTTGGAAACTACCTGTGTATAGGTGATTCTAATAATTTTAATTTGTAATTTCCACTTTAGCGGATGAAATATTCGAGAGTGTGGGAGATCGTGAGCTGAGACAAATCTTTGAAGGACAGAATCGTATTCATCTTGAAATCAAGCAGCTGAACCGACAGTTAGATATGATTCTTGATGAACAGAGAAAATATGTGTCCTCCTTGTCGGAGGAGATCTCTAAAAGAGGAGCAGGAATCCCTGGGCAGCATGGACAGGTGAGCTTTCCGAATTGCAGCTTTGCTTAGGTAGCCTTTGATGGAGGAGAGCGGAGGAGGAAGGCTGCTGAGCCGTGTGTTCCTATGGAGTGTGGGTTATCGAGCCAGCTGGCCATCTTTTGTTTTTCCTCCAGATCACTCAGCAAGAACTGGACACTGTTGTGAACACTCAGCATGAGATTCTGAGACAAGTAAACGAAATGAAGTAAGTATCCAGAAGTAATGTCTGAGTGTTGTGTACTCTGTTTATCTTAAATTCATGATTTCTCACGTTCTAGGGTCATTTTATTAATACTGGAATGTAAAGTACAAGAACTTTTGATATTTAGAAACTGCAGACGTGTTTAAATTTTTAAATTATTTTAAGCTAGAAAAGAAATGCTGTAGCACCTTTAAAAAAATAAAGGTTCGTCACATTTACTCTACAGCCAGAACTACTTATACATTTCTAAAATAGGAAAAGATTACGAGTAATATATCACAGTTCTTTGAAAAATACTACGGGAATAAGCACGCATAGCATCGTAGGACTGTAATACAAGCATGCCTTATGCAGGAACTTCTTTTTGATGGAGTAAAAACATTTTAAAGGAAATACGCTATGTGCGACTACCTCTTTTTCATTCCATCTTGTGCCCTGAGAGAGGCTGGACAAAGAGTTGGAGCAAAGAGGAGATACTGTGTCCTTGGAACGTTGAATGATAAGTTTCTAAAAAGGATCCACTTATGCAGATAATTAACAACTTCAAATGCCTGGAGAACAGAAACAGCTAAAATGTCGTATTTCATAAGCTAATACTTTATAGCACTGCCCCAGCCAGTATAACCCTTGATGAACAAGAATGTCAAGGGGAGTTCTTTAGGACTGGAAGATTCAACAGGATTGGGTTAAATAGAAGGTGAAAATATCTAACACGTAGAGATTAAAGGCAACCCAGCTTACAACTGCAAATTTGTATTTCTTTCAGTTGCAGTGTTTGGAATTTTTAAAAATCTTCAATTTGTAAACTTGTGATTAAAATATTCATGATGCTAAATGAATAGTTAAATTGGTTTAGAAATAGACTGGATTGCCTGACATTTTTTTAAATCTTTGTTTTGATCTAATTTTAGACTTCAGACATTTCAAAAATAATAATCTCCATATATCCCCCACCCATCTTCCCCTAACTGGTTATAGTACAATTGTCAGAACCAAGAAGCTAACACTGATACAGTACTATTAACTAAACTAATGATCTTATTCAAATTTTGTCAGTTTTCCACTGTGCCTTTTTCTGTTCGAAGATCCTGTCCAGGATCACGTGCTGCATTTAGTTATTTCTCTTTAGACTTCTGCAGTCTGAAACAGTTATCTTTCCTTCTCTGGCATGACCACGACAGTTGCCTAGAACATTGATCAGTTATTTGGTGAAGTGTCCCTCAATTTGGGCTTGTCTGATATATATTCATGATTGGATGGAGGTTCTGCATTTTTGACAAGAATACAACAGTGTACCATATTCACAATGTCAGTATATCTTATTACTGGTGATGTTAGCTTCACTTGCCTACGATGGTTTCTTCCCAGTTTCTTTAAGTTACTATCTTTCCCTTAGTAGTTAACAGATATTTGGGGGAAGATACTCTGAGACTGTGTGTATATCCTGTTTCACTTTAAACTTTTGCTCACTCATTTTAGCATCCATTGATGTCTCTCCTGCAACAAGAAAGTGGTGTTTACCAAATGCTGGTTTTTCTGTTTCTATCTTTCCTTCTGCATTTATTTATTTATTGAAATTCTGTGAGGACCAGCTCTTCCTTCTCCCCCATTTTTTTTATTTATTAATTATTTATATCAGTATGGACTCAGGAATATATTTTCTATGGGTTACAATCCAATACTGTCATTATTTCTTTTGTTATTCAGATTATCCCAGCTCTGGTCATTAGGCACTTCTCCAGATTGGCTTTAGTGTTCTTTCAGCCCGCATCTTTTTTTATGCATTTCTTTACCTTCTGGTAACCACACTATGTTTCAGGCTTATCTTTTATTTTCTCTGCCCCAGCTCTAGAATCAACCTCTTCTCTAGTGAGCCTTGGTTCCTTTTATTGGAGAGAGGTAATTAGAAACCAAGATCTGGGCACCTGGTGTGCTCATTACGACTGGGGTGCCATTGTTTCTAGGCTCTCAGTGGACAGAGCGAGGGAATATATGAATGTATACTAACCCACAAATATCTCTATTTTTGTATCCACCAATCTACATGTGTTTTTAAAAACCGTGAGATTATTCAGATGCTTTGGATTCCAGTTGGACTGGACTGAACTGAACACTGCGGGGTCGATTTTAGCCTTCCTCCTTTCCGTATTGAAAATTCTTTCTCCAACAGGGAAACCTGTGTTCTTATCTACAATGTATTTACCTGTTGGTTCAGTTTTAGTGTGTACATAAAGTGATATCGTACTGTAAACCCATATCCCTGCGGGAAAGACTACCCCTTTCCGAGTCTTTCCTTCTTTCCGGCCCTTTCCCACCCACGCCCTCTTGGTAATCCATCCCATTTTGTTCTTCCTGTATTTCTTCTGCACACATGTATTTTCTTGGACCCCTTCTTATCTGAATGGTAGCCTACTCTTTAGTAAAAGATAAAGGCATAATATTAAGTTGTAATTTTATAAATTATTTTCCAAGGTTGAAGACGGTTCAGTTTTTTAAAATATTGATCTTTTATCTTTCTTTAATAATCTGATATCTTGGGCTTAGAATTGTATCTAACCATTTAAAATCTGTGAGGGAAAGAACCATCTCCTAGCAATCCCACTGTCTAAAGGGATTTTCTGTTGCAGGAATTCCATGAGTGAAACCGTCAGGCTGGTCAGTGGCATGCAGCACCCAGGATCCGCAGGGGGCGTTTACGAGACCGCGCAGCACTTCAGTGACATCAAGGAGCACCTGCACGTGGTGAAGCGGGACTTAGAGAGCCTGGTGCAGCGGAACGTGGTAAGCGCTGCTCCCGCCCACTTTGCATCAGTCTTCTTCAGGAAAGGAACACATTCAACTTTATTCTACTGAAAATACTTTAAATTTTTGGTTAATGCTAACGATCTTTTATAATGTCAAAGATGGAATTATTCCATGTGTCTATATGTACCATATTATGCTTCCATAGCCTATTGAATATAATTTTTTAAAAAATAAATTGCTATCCCAATTAGTGGAGCTATCACAATTTCAGACTTTTTTCCTAGGTTCTTTTCTGTAAGGTTTCTTTAAAAAAAATGGCTCTTATCGATAATTATATCTGTAAATATCTTTGAAAAGATAAATGTCTCTCTTGACAACAAACCCTTTTGTTAGACTGACTTGTGCTGGGTAACTCATATTTCTGTCTGTCTCAGCTGTTTAGCACAGATCAAAACTACCTGACTAGCGGCAATTTTAAGCAAGGTCTTCCAGCTATTTTTCCTGCCTTGTTTCATTTTTTAAAACGTTTTTTGTTTTTGTTTTGCTTTATTGGGTCTTTTTTAGTGTAAGCCCCATTTCACTTTTGGAGATTGGCAATAAATATTAAAAATAGGTAACTTTTTGTGACGTTTAACATGCATAAGAGACAATATTAGAAGACCGATCCCTGGTACTTTTAAGTTTATTCTTGATTACTGGCTTTAAAGACCCTCACAAAATTCACAGATACTTGTAGCATTTGCCTTTTCCTCTTCCAGTTTTCTAAATATGGCTTAATGTTTCCTTATTGACCATTACCTCTCATCCAAAGCATTATTATCTATTCCCTTAGTTCTGTTTGAGGTTATTTCTCCCCAATTTTAGCCTTTGTCAGAATGGTCCAGTTGATGCTGTGGGTGGTATTATGCACTGAAGAACTTTATCCCGTAGATGTATGCACATTAAAAACAAAAAATCTTAGGAGCCCTTCTGTCTAGATACCTTGTTCGTGATATTTAATTACCTCCTTATAATAGAAGGAATACTCATGGGAATAGAAAAAGAAACACTTTCAAAATACCAGTTAGTAATGTCGAACACTAGGAGATCAGGGACAAAGAGAGCTCAGCCAAAGCCAGGATATCGTCAGGTCGTTCATTGGTAGGGCAGCTATGCAGTCATCTGAACCAGGACACGTGAGACTGATGCTGAGCACTCTCAAAAGTGTTCTGGTTCAGACGCTGACACGGTTACCCCGTTGAAGGTGATGCTCTTAATAATTACTTTAGTACAGCGGTGTAACCTGGAAGTGTCCAGGAATTTGTGGTCTGTCACCCCCAAGGACACTAAGATCACTGTCACTTTGACAAAGATAGGAGCCAAATGACAATGAGTGAGTGACTGGACAGTGAAAAGGTGGAGGCCTTCCAGTGTCAATAGTGTCAACTTCCAGTGTCAACTCTTTAAAAAAATCAAGTGGTAAAAGTTGGGATGGAAGATATTTACAGGATGAATAAATGAAAATACTTGTGTCATACAGTAGACCGTGAGTTTTATAAAGATTTCACATTTATTTCTTTTTCTAAAATACTAATTTGACTGATTGTAACAGAAAGTTCTTTGCCTTATAGCTATCAAATGAAAGACTGAAATGCCCAGAACTGCCACCTTTTCCATCATGTTTATCCACGGTGCACTTCGTTATATTCGTAGTGGTACAGACAGTGTTGTTCGTTGGTTATGTCATGTATAGGTGAGTCTCTAAAACTTGGCCGAACATTTTGCTGTATTTGTTTAATTTGGAATACTCAGTATCATCTGTGTTCATAATGGAACTTTCAATACCTATTAGTTAGATTTATACAAAGCAAATATTATTTCTAGTCTAGTTCAGTTCACATGGGAGTGCACGTACAGAGTGTATGCTTATCCTAATGTATTTTAGACTTCAAAAGACATTGTATATTTCAATTTTAAGCAATCCTATTTCTTTCCAAGGTAAAGTATACAGAAATTCTTTCAGTTTTTTTCTTCTCTTTTTTCCTTAGGACTCAGCAAGAAGCAGCTGCCAAAAAATTCTTTTGACCACCATTTTCATATGTGTGCATCATGTATGTATGTACAAAATGTTGTCTTTTTGAGGGAATTGAAGTATTTAAATTGCTTCATAGGCTAAATTATTAAATTTTGTATAAAATAATTTAAACATTGATTTACAGTAAGAATAAAACCTTAAAGACAACCACATGTAAATTTGTGCATAGTACATAAAATCTATTTAAATTTCAGTGCATTTCTGGCCAGTAGAACACAGCCACTGGACAGAATATTGATAAATAAGACGGTAAATAATAGAAAATTGGGGCCAGCCCCGGATATGAAAATTACCCCTAAGTTTCAGATGCTGGAGGTTTTCCTTTATTTAACCTAAACACACTTGCCCTCCTGCCCGCCACACATGAGGTCTAACTAAGAGCTCCCCATCCTGGTTCTCTCATAACCAGTCGTTGTAAGAGGTCAGAATTCCCTCCTGTGACACCCAGGCCCGCAGCCCTTAACCTGCTACCCTTTGGTCTCAGGACATCTTGTCCGAGAGCCTTAGGGCTGGGTAAGAGCCTCACGTTGTTTATTGGAGTGTTTCCCTTCTGATCATCAATGTTGTATTTCACTTTTAAAGGAAATTTTGGGGGGAAATTAAGAGCTGCTCTTTGCCTGAAACACCAGTTAGGCGAACACATTCCTCTCGTGATAGTTTTTAAGGGTATTTGCCTGGTAATGCATTCATTTCCTGACGGCTCATATTCTTGAACATCTTCATTCTGTCGGTTCAATATTATGAAAATCATTTTTGCATTTGTATTTGTAATGAACTTACTTCTCCCCTTTCCCTTTTGTACGGCATATAGATTCAGCTCAGATTGCACGTTCTGGGGATATTTTGCTTCACAGACCCCACCACTACATTCTGGTTTGCATTACTCTGTACAGCCTGGTGCTTGCAACGCCGCGTACCCATGTAAATTAAGGAGGCTGTATTAGAAGCAGTGTTAAGATTTTTGAAGGCAAAAATTTGAAAAATAGAGTTAATACTTCTGATTTCTTTGTTTTAATGCCAGAACTGAGGATATTGCGAAGCATTTGTTAGTAAGCTTAACCTCGAAATGTGAGCCTGGAGGGGTTGTTGTAGTTTTCATACATATTCTAGGTACTACAGAAACAGTCTGTAAATGACATTTTAAAATGCACTTAATTCTGTCTTCACAAGTGATGTAAACTTATTTTTGCTGGCTTCAAAATACTTTTTTATCTCTTTTAGCTAAAATGGTGGTTTTACATTTGTTGTGGGATGCAAAATAATACTGTTTTATAAAATAGTACCGTTTAATTCTTATATGCCTTCATAAATTTACCCTGAGATGTCATTTACAGATGGAACTGACTGCCTAAAATCTGTACAAAGACTGTGAGAGACTCTCCCTTCTAGCAATACCTGACGTGCTATGTATACAAACAATCTTGACATTGCTTTCTGTCTTAGCACTTATCCTAGAACACTGAATGAGAACGTTCTAATGATTACTCACTCTAGTCATTTCAACATAGAAAATGCGTCACTAGTGTTTTTCCTTGTAGTCTTAACATTTTGAAATTCATGTTTCAGAGACATCATCACAGAATTTATTTCATGAAAAAATATTAATACCATCAGAAGAATATTTAATTTGTAGACTATGAACTTGAGAAATCCTCTTGAGATTAAAGCCTTCAAAATGTCCAGTATTGTAAAATCCATGTACCTGAACTTATTAAAGGAATCCCAGATGTACGCAGTACCCATTTTCAGGCAAAAGTTCGAGAGGAATCATTCGATTATTTCTCATACAAATGGAAATGGCTGTTATGAAAAGCATGAGCATGAATCTTTTTTACTTAGTAATGTAATTTGCTAAAAATCACTCGGTAAAGCAGTTTGCACAGGGTATTTGTCATATTATTCGAAATTTGATTTCATCTCCTCAAAATCATTGACTTTAAGTAGCTCATTTCCGAAGAGAAGTGTTTCCTCTGTGGAAAAATCAATCACTGCCAGGATCCTTTCTTTTCTGTACTGTTTTGTATAATTGAATTTAACTTCTCTCACACCAGCAAGTATACTACAGGTGCCTTGGATTAAAACAAAATCGATTTTAAAATTTTAGTGTAAGTGGTGCTTATGACGCCACTTTTAAAAAGAGATACAATGACATAATGGTTGGAACCGTTATTTAATGTACCTATTTGTGTTCTAATTGTGTGGATGTTTTATTCAGCTTGAAATTTTACTATGAAGCCACAAACAATAAACAATATTTTGGTATATATTAAAGAGATATCAGTGTTTGTCACAGGGCGGCCCGAGGACCAGCCGGGTCTTGGAGTGCCTGTTCAGAGCACAGGTCACGGGGCTCCGTTCCAAACCACCTGAAGTGAAATTCAGGTGTGGAGCTTCAGAATATGTTTTCGACAGGCACCTCCAGTGATTCTGAGCACACTCATATTTGCGAACCACTAAGATGGAGAGTGGAAAAAAATAAGTGTGGTTTTGTTGGTTTAAAGCTGAGCTCAGAGCATACTATAACATTTTCATTGTCATTAGCAAATAAATGTGCACTGATTCTTTTATACTTAAAATTTACTTAATGTTCTTTTTACTAAAACTCTTTGTTTAGTAGCAACCAGAAACAAACCAGGTTGTTTCCTGTAACTCTTGGTACTTTGATTGATGGCTTTTAAACTTACAAAATCATCTTCATGGTCATGGTCAAGCCATGAAAACTCCTATCTTCACGTCTGCCTGCTAAAGCTTTTTGCTTTCCTGATGGCGATTTTTGTGACATTTTATCTCAGACCATAGTACTTTTTGATAACTTGGGGAAAACAAAAATTACTTGAATAAGGGATTGCCAGACCCACCGCATCGCAGACAGTCTTTATAAAGAACATGGTAACTGTTGTGAATGTTAAGATGTGATTATCTTTTCCTGTCCATGTGCTTTTGCAGGGAGGTAGTGAACAAATGATTATATTGGGGAATTTTTTTATTTATAAGATCTAATGTGAAAGCATCACTTGCAACTTTTTAGATCTGTATGTTGCCTGTTTAATATATTTCTTTTAAAGTTTAAAGAAGTTTTCTATCCACTGTTAATTTCAATTGGATAACATTTTTTGTCAAGTGTTTTTTTCTGATTGTTATTTGATGCTAGCTGGAATTCAAGAAATGACATTGACCTTATTCAAATAAAGAAATATTTTAGTAAATTTACTTTCCTTCATTAATCTTGGGTAATAAGTAGTTATTTTCCAAATAGGCCCTGATTTGTGATGGTATTTCATTTACGATGTGCTGTGTGCTCTACCCTAGGGGGCATATCACCTGTGGAGTCAACATGAGGAAGCATAAAAAGTAGAAATGATAATGGATAAATAGTTAGCCTTGCTGGTAATGAGAAATACATAATTAAAACAATGTATTTGATGTTTCCACTTTTAATAACCACAGACTGGTGAAAGTACAGGTAAGCCTGAACTCTTAGTCATCACTGATGGCAGTTAAAAGATCTTTGAATCTTTCTGACAAGTGCCATTTAACCAAGTAATTCTAATTCTGAGAGTCCATGCAATATAAAAAGGGAAGAGTATTGATGTCAGACAAATCCGGGTTTGAATCTCGGCTTTGCCACTCAGTAAAGATGGCCTCAGTCTTCATGATACTGATCTCAGGGCAGTAGCATTGTAAGAGTCTTCATTACACAGTTTCAGAAAATGATAGACTAAGGTAATGGACCTCTCTTCTGAGAAATAGTGGATAAAATAGAAGATTTAAAATAAATAGATGGATTTGAAAGAAATCAAAGGAAACTTAGAGCCCGATCAGTGAGCCTCCCTGCAGGCGAGATGGGGGAGATGAGACAGCATCGAGGCCCTGGACACCAGTGGGGCACTGGGGACATGGCCTTGCAGGCCACAGTAAAGACCTGGGATGTTATTCAAGGATGAGGAGACGCCTTTGGAGGGGTAACACCCAGTGGTCCCATTTCACAAATCCTGGGGTATTTATTTTCTCGTTCTGGAGGAATGAACGATTCTACACTCAGCAGCAAATAGTTACTGGATGTCCAAGTAGAAAAGTCCATTGTAATCGAAGAATAATAAGTTTTAAAGACATCTCATTTTCAGTGGGATTAACTGTTGGGGAGACTGAGAGATTTGGTTTCATAAAACAAAGTAATACCAGGTAGGATTCAGTCATCACACTGGTGTACCTACCACCTGAGGATCTCTAATGCTTGACGCCCCCAGCACGCGTGCGTGTGCACGCACATACACACACACACACGACTGGGCAGGGAGAGGCTGCTTTATAAACTGGATTTAGGGTTTAGAATTGATACCTTCAATAATAATATTTCCTAATAAAATAGAATTTTAGTAATAATTTTATAAATTTATAATAAAATATGAAGTGGATTTTTATTTTTTTATTTTGTGCTTTAAGAGATAGTAGTCCTCTGATTCAGACCTATCAAATCCAGTTGGCTTTGGGGATCTCACTTTGCTGACCAAAACTACTATATAGGATAAATCTTCAGCAAATTGTCCTTGTTTTGGGGAAATATAAGTTTTTAATGTCATGAAACACCTGTTCTGTGTTTTCTAAAGGATAATCGTGCTGAACTGGAAAACGAAACAAAGAAACATTCTCTGGCTTGTACTGTATCACCCGAAAAGTCCTATTAGACCTTATTAATGAATAACGCCCCTCAATGGAGATGAAATACGGTTTATGATAAATGGTAACTTAGAGATAATGGTTCGAATGTGCTGAGTTCCAGGCAATGCAAAAGCGGAGCTAAGTATTTATGTACATTCTCGATCAGCACTGAGCAGTCTATTTCACCCTAAACCTGTTAGTCTTTCATTCTGAGACCATTTTAGCAACATTTTAAAATAGGTTAGTAAAAGGGAAAACAAAATATATATAAAGCAAGCATTTTAGGCAAAAATCTAGGTTATATAGTTCCGTACAATCTGAAGGATAGCCATTATTTCCTGAGAGGGCTCATGCCAACTGATAAAATAATAAGCATAGGTTACAAATAGCCTGAGTCTTTTCACCTCCCCCAACACGCATCCCCCCTCTCCGCGCCACCCCCCGCCCCCACCTCGGAGTGCTTTAATTAGAAAGGAACTAATATAGATTAAAGTCTTAGCCATACTCAATTCCTCCCTTGACCTGGGGAAAACCATGACCGTTGAGAATCTGCTGCATGATAAAACGTGGTCAAAGGTTTTCTCCAGGTACACCAGTGAGCTTAAGTAGAGCACCCAGGAAGTGGATTGTATGTCAGAGATAAAGGTGATCCCACTACATATTGATGACGTGACTCACATATGTCCTTACCTTCTGGGTGGGAGCGTTGGAAGTGCCCAGCACATCACCTCCATGCAGAAGTGTAACATCTCAGTGCAGGAGAAGGCTAAGGTAATCTTCCAGAGGTAGATTAACAACCCACTGGCTGGCCCTGTGGACTTCCCTAAATTGGGTATTTACATATAGGGCACAGTAACCACTGGAGCAGCACAGAACCCAAGCAAACCAAAGGCAAAGCCTGGCATAGTACTTAGAGCCCAATGAGATAAAATGACGGATCAAAGGATTATTCTTGCTTAACGAAGCATTTTGGGTTTGAGTCTCATTGGACTCACTTTTCAACAGGATGTTGTATTTAAGGGCTGGAATTTGGAAATTCCACTACAGCCATAAAATGTCAGCTCTGATTGACTTAATCCAAGCAGAACTCTGGATGAAGCCCTGCTGTGCTTATAACCTAACATTTAGAAATGGATGGGGAGGAAGGGATAGATAATGGGAAGGATTTTTCTTACCATTAGCTTCTGAAATTAGCTTAGTGTATTAATTCAGAAAGTAGTCGGTTCCATCTGATTGTGTCCCTTAGTAATCTGAACCATCTGCCTCTGTGTAGGAGGTAGTTCACCTCTTTAATCCAGCTTACAGCCCACAAACCACTCTTCTCTATCATTGTGCCCTTGAGATGAGGCTGTGCAAGGTTCTTTGCTCTTAAGTGTGGCTGTCGTTAAGGATATTTGGAGATTTTGTCTTTTTTTTTTTTTTTTTTTCCTCCTCACGTTTTTTTCTGAGTTTTGGTTTTCTTTCTCTGGGGCCGAAACCATGGCTTTCTTTATGAAAACTATGATAAGTAACCAGGTAAAGAATTTAGGATTTGGTGGTGGGTCTGAAGAAAAAAAAGAAGAAGGAGGTACTTCTGATCCTGCAGCAGCTCAAGGGATGACTAGAGAGGAATACGAGGAATATCAAAAGCAAATGATTGAGGAGAAGTGAGTACATGCAGCTTCATTTCCCTTTATAAGCAAAAAGTAATTAATGCCGGCCGTACCTGCTTCAGTTTTCCAATTTCTTTTTGCTCTTTAAATGGATGCTTTTCCTTGTGCTATTGGCCTCTAACTTTAGGAAACCCCCTAAGTTTTCTGCTAAAGTGAACGATTTTGTAGCATCAGCAGTTACTATGTCCTATTTGTATGAATGGAAATGAAAAACAAATGAATCTACACATCATTTTTAGTGTAACTTAACACTTTCCGATGTAGGCACGTTTTAATTGACTTCAGTTTAACTGTTCAGAGGAAAAATTGTGAGTCTATCTTTCCAAAATTCACCCTCCTGGCAAATGGAAAGCTTTCAAATGGTAAGAATTCAGACTTTGCTCCTGGAAGAGGGCCTTAAAAAACATATAGTGCAACCTTCTTGATTTCACATGGGCAAAAAAAAAAAAAAGCCTAGAAAGCACAACATAACAATTATGTCATAAGAATTGGCTTCTCAAACACTATGAATAAATTTATGGACTTTATTATGAAAGTTTTAAAGATACAGTAAAGTAGAATAGTATAACGAATCCTATATGCACCTATGATGTAACGTGTACAATTAACATTTTGCCATATTTACTTATAGATGGATTAGTTGGATTAATGATGATGATAGATAGGTGGATAGGTAGGTAGCTAGATACGTAGATGATAGATAGATAGATAGATAGATAGATAGATAGATAGATAGATAGATAGATGATAGATAAATGATATAGAGAATAAATTTCAAAGTAAATTACAGGCATCATGATACTTCACTCTTAAATACTTCAGCCATATACCTCCAAAAAATAATAACATTCTCCCGGCTATATAAAATGTAATAATGGTAATATATTAGTAACATTTTATTTAAGAATACGGAATGTGAATATCACCAACGATTTTTCACTGCTGAAGATTGATCTTTAAGTGCAATCTGCATGTAATTTTTTAAAAGTTTAACATAGCATTAAGAGTTTTAATAATCAACTAAGAATTGAAGCATCGATCTTGAGGTTAAATGTTCATCAAATATTACAAAAAATGTTTTTTGTTTTTTGTTTTTTTGCTACCATGGCTATTTTGCTAATGATCAATTACATAATAGCTGCCTAAGTCCTATTGCTAAGATGATTATAAGTGAAAAGGTTAATGACCTGGGGAAACTAAGTACCATGGCCTACATTTAATGGGAACCTTGTCTGTTGTATTTTTTCTGAAAGAAATTATGGCTTATAAATTATCTAGAAGACTTATGTTTGGCTCAGCAAATTAAAGTCAGTTCAAGTAAATGCAACTGCAAAAATTATTGGTGCTAAGATAATGCTAGGGCCAAAAAAAGCAGCATTCTTTCAATGTTGGCTAGTTTTGCCTATGGTGTGTAAAATGACAAATATAATGAAGAAACAGAAATGGAACAATAGCACCAAATGTTCTCAGCTCAAGGGGGCTTATGAAAAGAAAATGATCAGAAATTTAGACTATACACCTGATCATGTAAAATATCATTTAATATGTCCAAGCAATAAATCTGGTCACAGATATAGCAACTGTTGGATTAACTAATGTCCTAGTTTTCCTTAATTTTATATCTGGACAGATCAAAGATAAAAATGCCCAAATGATGTGGTCAATCAGTAGACTGGGTTATTTGCCAACTACGTGTCTTTATGTGTATGTATGTGTGTGAATATTACAAATTTATGTTGTCACCTAATTTAGGGAATGGCAGCAGGACAATAGGGCCAGCCTGCTTCCCCATGGCAAGAGGGATGACTACCAGTCCATTGCTTGAGTTTTCAAGAGCTTCATCACCTAGAATACAATGTAAAAGAGTTGGCATCAAAAACGATTCATCACGAGTTACATGTAAGGAGAGCTATAGACAGTAAAGCATATATAATCATTAAAATGAATACTAGCAAATAAAAGGCTTCTAAAGCTGTCATCATTTTAGAAAAGTTGTGGGATTAACTCCAAAAATTATAAACTAAAAACTAATTAGTAAAGCCCTCTACTGCACATTTTTATTTTATTTCTATGTTTAGATTTTTTTTCCACTTCTGATAACACTGGTACTGAAAGGTCTATACATAAATAGAATATTTAGAAATGTCTAAATAAAACATTAATCTCTTTATCCCTCCATCTCTCAATTATATTAAAATGTCCCTTCACCTTAGTTATAATTGCGACAGTACCATTTGTAAGTTGAACCTCGATATGCATCGCAGACCTAAACATAAAAGCAAAAATTAGAAAGCATTTAGAAAAAAGCCTAGAATATCTTTGCAACTTGGAAATAGGCAAAGATTTCTTAAACATGAATGATGCAATTACCAGAAAAATTTTAAATGATAAATTAGATGTTATCAAAATTAAAAACTTGTGTGCGTCAAAAACACCCTTAAGAAAATAAATAGGCAAGCCACAGACAGAAAAAATATTTGCAAAATGTATATCTGACAAAGGACTGGGATCTGGGGTATACGAAACATTTCTGAAACTCAATAATAAAAGCAAAAAAAATGAGCAAAAGAGTTGAACAAATAACTTTACAAAGATATATAAATGGCTAATTAGTGCATGGTAAAAAAATCTTGATAATCATTTAGTCATGATGGAAATGAAAATTAAAATCACACTAAGGTACCATTACACACATGCTAAATGGCTAAAGTTAAAAAGACATAATACTAAACGTTGGCCAGAACAACTAGAATTCTTCTTCTCATTGATGAGATGTAATACAGTGTAACCACTTGGGAAAAGGTGTAACAGTATCTAATAAAACTACACTTACTCAACCAAGTCACCCTATAACTCAGCAATTCCATGCCTAGATATTACTGAGGAGAAATGAATATACACGTTCAAAAAAAAGACTTGAGCAAAAATGTTCATAGCAGTTTCATTCACAGAAGCCCCAAACAGGAAATAGTCCAGGTGTTCAACAGCAGAAGGAAAAAACAACCGTGATATATTCATATAGTAGAATACATTCAGTAATAAAAAGGAACAAACTACTGATAAATGAAAAACCTAGATAAATCTCAAACGTTTTTTCTGCTGAGTGAAAGAAACCTTACACAAAAGAATGCATAGTGCACGGTTACATTTATATGAAGCTCTAGAATAGGCAAAGCCCATCTGTGATGGAAAAAAGTGGTCTAGGGAGCAGGCGTTGATTGGCAGTGGGGATGAGGGCATGTTCTCAGTAATGTTCTTTATATTTTAAGAGGGGTTGGGTTACAGAAATGGAACCAATAGGAGAGAGAGAGAGAGAGAGAGAGGATAAAACTACAAACATACATAACTGTAGTTAATGTTGAAGTGTTTGGGGTGGGGACTGCTGATATCTACAACTCTGAAATAAAAAAAAAAACCACAATAAGATGGATCAATGAATACTTAGAGGGAGAAGGATATATGATAAAACGCGTATAATACATGCTCATTGTAGGATCATGATTGTGAGTATACAGATTTCACTTTAAAATTCCTTCAACTTTTCTGTATGTTTGAAATTTTTCATAATAAAATATTGGAGTGAGGGTGGGGTGGAAGACCTGCTCCTGCCCATGCCACAGGTCACCGATCTCTCGGGTCAGTCACTTATTCCATTTCCCTCTCCCAAACTAGAAGCGTGAGCCCAGCGTTCCCTCCTGCCTATTCCAGGCCTGACATTTGGTGGAGGGCAGTGAGTTCAGGGCCTGCCTGAGCCCAGGGCCCAGTGAGGAGCGGTTTAGTCTGAGTGCTTCAGATCTGGCCCTTCCTTCAGCCAGCCTTCTGTGGTAATGGTTAAAATGACTTCAAAACTCAAGACATAGAAACCAATTTAGCCACCTGAAAATGAAAATAGGCAGTTTAATGCAAACGATGCTTCATGCAAAGATGTTTCACCAAACCCATGAACAGAAATCCCACCAGGCCCCACCTGGGCCTCAACTAGGAACCAGAAAGCTTCTGGGAAGCCACGAGAACTCTTTTCCCATCTCTTTCTATTGCTTCTCTCTTTGTCTGGAGGCTTCGTCCTTCTTTCTCAGCAGTCGGCAATCTCCATCTATCACCTAGCCCCCGTGGCAGGTGCAACCCGCAGCCCCCACGTTTACCTGTTACAGCCCCAGCCACACCACACGTCTCTGTCTTTCTCAGTTCCAATCCCAAGTTCCCAGAGAAGAGATTTCATTTACCCAGCTCGGTCCAGGCCAAAGCAGCCGAGGGCGGGGCCTTGTGTACCGACTGCACCCCCAGTAACACGCTTCTGTGGGCAGCTGAGAGAGAAGGGGCTCTGGTGGGCTTTGCAGACATCCCAAAGGCGTCTGCTTCAGTCTGGACTATCATGAGCAAAGGAGTTTATTTAAACCAGCATAGTCACGAGTCCAATTAGGTGGTCCCCAAAGCACTTTGCAACCTCCTGTACCTCGTATGGGGCATTCCCTTCTCAATAGGGAAGGGAACGCTGAACCTAAATTGGGGTCTAGAGGGAGTGACAATGAAGGGAAATGGCTTTATATAACATCCCCAAATACCATGTGCCTCAAAGCACCCCCAGTCCCAGTGTTTCCCCTGCCCCGCCCCCCGTGCCTGAGGGCAGAGGGGACTCAGAAGGTGTACCCCGGGGTCTGGCTTCTCTGAGCAGGGGCTAGAATGTCCTCAGTTTTTTCTGTCTTTTGATCCTGTCTTCTATTCTTTTCCTTTTAGGATGGAAAGAGATGCTGCATTTACACAAAAAAAGGCAGAGAGGGCCTGCCTGAGAGTTCACCTCCGAGAAAAGTACAGACTCCCAAAGGTGAGACACTCAACGCAGTAAACATTCAGTCATTTCTTACACACTAAACAATGGAGAATAGTCGATTATCAGCAAAGGGTCACGCTCACGAATATATACATACAGTAGTCCCCCCCTTATCCACGGGGGTTACATTCCAAGGCCCCCAGGGGATGGATGCCTGAAACTGGAGATAGCGCTGAACCCCCAAATACTGTTTTTCCCTATACATGCATATCTATGATAAAGTGCAATTTATAAATTAGGTTCAGTAAGAGATTAACAACAATAATTAATAATAAAATAGAACAATGATAATATATTGTAATGAGAGTTATTTGAATGTGGCATGAAGTAAAATGAGGGTTTCTTGAGCACAAGCACTGTGGCATCTCGGCAGGGGATGTGACCCTTGAGATGGCTACCAAGTGGTTATGGGCGGGAGCCTCTGCAACGAGGAGACGGGAACAAAGAGATGATTCTTGTCTCTGCAGGGACAGAGCAGGACGCCTAGAATTAAAAACTTATGAATCGTTTATTTCCGGCATTTTTCATTTAATATTTTCAGACCGTGGTTGACCATGGGTAACCGAAATCACAGAACGTGAAACGACAGACGAGGGTGGGAACAACTGTATCGTATGTGAGCATGTAAATGCATGTATATGTCTTCATCTTAATCGAGGCATCGTGATCTAGTGCAAAGAGCGTTGAACTAGTTGGTAAAGACGAGATCCCAGTCGTCTAACCTCTGTGAACTTCCATTTCCTCTCAACAGAACGAAGTGAATACCTATAGATGACATTTTTACGTGAATTTATGTAAGGACTATAGAGCTTCTATGTATAGAGACATCATGGGGATAATAATGACAGCTGACATTCATGGAGCTCTAAGTGCCAGGCACTGTTCTAAGTGCTTTGCAAGTATCAGTTCGCTTAGTCCTCTCAGCGGTCCTGTGAGGGAGGTTCTTACAGTAGAGGACACAGGTACAGAGAAAGGAACCACCCTCCTGCCACGGGCCACACAGCGGGGGACAGCGGGGGACAACGGGGGACAGCAGAGCCCAGGGTCTTGACTTCTACAGTGTTCTGCCTCTGCATCAAAGCAGCGATTGGTTCCTTCTTTGGGGAGGGGGGGCATGCAATAGTGCTGGTCATCACCTGGCAGCATCCTGGTGCTGGCCAAGAGGCCAAATACCTGGACACTCTGGTGGGGTCGTCGTTTTAGAGAAGTTGTGGGATTGGCTCCGCCCACTGTAAATCGAAAACTACTCAACAGTGCATTCTGCCCCACATTCGCTTTTATCTTCCTGAGAGGTGGGCAGAGGATGTCCACATGTTCCCAGGCCTGCATCCAGGGTGACAGAGGGCCCGGCACTCTGCTCCTCTGGCTCGCTTCTCGTTTCCCCCCACCTGGGGATCGCTCAGCTCCTCTAAATGACTCCACCGTCACCTTCATATTCCAGAGGCACACCTCCCTTAGAAAACACCTTCCACCTGGAGAAACCAGAGAAAGATCCCGCCAAAGCATGACAGCCACCTCCAAATCAGCTGGCAGGGGCGGGGGGAGGGTTGTTTAGAAAGTGTCACGAAACCAATTCCTCCAATGGGTTCCCTGAAGGTGCTGGAAAAGCCGACCTCAGGGGCTATAAGCACGAAAAAAGGGAGAGAGCCCACTGGCCATTGCAAGGTCACTGCTGAAGTCACCAGAGTTAAATAGAGCCACCCTCTGGGAGAGATGGACCCCTAAGACCCAGGAACCCGAAAAACTCACAATGAAATTTAAACCCATTTTCATTTGAGACCGGTGAATTTTGAAAAGAATGCCATGCTTTTTGCGGTCCTTACTCTGGGTTAGTACGGAGTTTTTCCCGCTGTGCTTGCATTTTGGAAGAGTGGAGCGCCACTAAACACTGTCCCTTCCACTCCCATTGTCTGGTGGATTTCCTGAAACTCCCCAGGATGTCCCTGGCTGTCTTCAGCAACGTGGCTTCCCCTAGGCAGGAGGCCTGACTCAGACTTCTGCTGCCGAACTGAAGCTCCGACCTCCGGCCTTGGGCGCATCTGATTAAATCACCACAAATCTTGTTTAGAATGAAGCAGAAATGAAATACACACACACACACACACACACACACACACACACACACACACACACACACACACCCAACAGCCCATGTCTCTTCCACAAAGGCGGGACTTTTTAAGGATTTATTTTTGTCAGCTGTTCTGCTGGGATATTATAAGGAGAACTGGATTTCAATCGTGGCTCTGAGACTCTGACACAGTGCAATCTCAGGTGGCTTCTAAAAATACCTGAGCCTCAATTTCCTCACCGATAAAATGGGGCAGTGATAACTACCTCATAAGGTCTTTGTCTGAGGTAACATAATGTAAAGAACCCGGTAGAACTCCTGACCAATGGAAAGAGCTCGATGGATGGCAGCTGTGACGATGTCATCTGTGCACAGATGTCCTGTTTATAACAAAAACTGGGGGTCCTGAGGACCGTGCGCTTGGCGCAAGCACGCTGATGTGTGTCAACAGTCCAGCTCCAGGTGCCTGAACTTCAAGAATCGAGCTTTTGTTTGTTTTCTCCCTTAATGGCGAGTCTGTGGTCTTGCTCATTTCCAGATCCTCCGGGGTGAACACCTCCAGGCTTAGCCAGGTTTTGATGCTCTTCAGAGAAAAAAAATAATCCCCAAATCTCTGAGGCAACCATCCTTTGAGACAAGAGCCTCTCAGACAGAAACTATGGAAAGAAGAAAGAATTATAGCCATGGCGTATGCACATTCGGATCCTCCCTGGAGAGGGACAGGCCCCGGGGAGTGACCGTGACAATAGCTGCATAGGCTACTGCTCTTTAAAGCCAAATGGAGGATGGGGGGAGGGGAGGACAGGGATGAACCATGAAAAAGTCTATAAATTAGCAGTGGAGCTCAATATCTTTTGTTGCATGATTTCCGATGCTCACATACCCCTCTCTCTATGGGTGTTTCAAATGCATAACGCATATGAGACCGCCCCTGATTTTTTCAAGGATCCCAAGTTCATCTGAGAATCTAATGTCACCGATTCTTTTAGCTTAAGGAAACCGCAACCCAGGGAGGTTAAATAGCTTTACAAAAACCCATAGCTATTGAGCAACAGAACCACGATTGGAACTTCAGCCTCGCGACCATGAAAAAGAGAAACTTACTCACAAAAGGATTTGAACACAGCTCCCTCTTGCCCCAAGGTCTCTGCTCTTTCTGCTCTCAATATTCGAGGTGTCCCAACAAGTTTAGTGCAGCTTCGAGCTCCACGTGGCTTAAAACTGCACGAAGACCTCGGGGACCACCTGTGCTGGTGACTACTTCAGTAAATGTCACCGAATCCCACCCCAGCAGCTGGGCACGTTGCTTTTCCTTCTCTGACGTTGTGTGACGTCAGAGCTGGGAGTCACTGACTAAATTCCAAATCCGATCGAAATAAATAGGCGAGAATGTCGCTTGGAAGCAGTCTACACTTAATCCTTCGCTGCAGAGTCTACTTTCAGATGGAGGCCTTCCCGAGCCACTTTTCTATTATCTCTGCATTCTGTAAAAATAGATTCTACGCACAATGCTTCAAGAACTAGCCTATAGGGTGAAAAAGAACTAAAAATACTGATAATACAACTGCCCGCTTTTTGTAAAGCGCATGGGAATTCTAATCCAAATGCACGTTATCCTTAAAACGATAACTAATAGAAAGCGCACCATAAAAAAAATCAACACTGTGGCTCATAGTCCACTTTGTCTGCTTATCCCCAGATGTGGCGAACGCCCCAAGCTCAAGGCGGCACCTTGTGCTGGAAGTCCAGCCCCACCCTTGGGCACCTCCTCTGCCTCCGGGGGCTGCCACAGGTTACATGCTCCCCTCCCCCATACCCGATCGAGGCTCTGGGTGCAGCGGGCCTTCGACAGACCCCGCGCCTAGAAAGGGGTGCTGGGGGACAGCAGCGTTCCCCAGGCCCCCAGATCAGCCCCCGGGCAGCTGCTTGCTGTCTGTGCAGACAGATCCTGCCCAAGCCAGACGCTGGCCTCAGGGCGGAGCCGAAGCAGCAGCCGCCTGCGCGGGACAGGAACCCCGGCCCCTCGCGCCCCCTGGTGTTCCCAGTCACAAAGCGCGCGGGATGCCCCCAGGGAAAGGCACCGTCGCTGCGGTTGTGGTGGTGGGGACAGTGGGGAGGAGGAACAGAAATAAATGTCTGGAGGCGACTTGTTACTTTTTGGAGCCTATTCTTTTGATACTAAGGACCAGATGGCGCGTTTTATTCTAAAGTGGTTTCTGGGCTAGCAGGCCTGTAAGGGCTTGGTGGGCCGTCCTAGGAGCAGTCGTCACAAAGCAGGAGGTGACAGGACCCATGAGTGACTGGGTGGGGACAGGCTGGGAGAGGAGCATCTGAGCAGTGGGATCCTCGGTGATATGTCCTCACAGAGAGGTTTCTAGCTGTCTCCGCAGCAACCAGGATGGTGAGGGATTGTGAAATGACTCACGGTAATTGAGAAATAGTTGGAAGACTGTGGATGAGCGGCCTTGAGAGGAGATGGCTTTGGGGAAATGACTGTGGGACTGGTCATCCCCAGGCCTCAGAGGCCATGCGTTGATTCTCGTGCTGCTGGCTACTACAGAACTGTAGGTAACTGTTAGGTCTTTGTCGATTATGCAGAGTAACCCTATAGACTGCCATCCAAAACACCATGATGGAAATTTAAGTTGCAAGTTTTCATTTCCTAGATGCTCTGATAAGGAGCGGGGAGGCCTGGGAAGGCTAGGCAGTGTCCATGGGCATCACCATGACTGGGAAAGCTCAAGGCCATGGCAACGCGAATTGGAAGAAAAGGAATGAGGGGCTAGTTGGCCAGTAAGAACAGTGGGACAGGACTGACAGAGGTCAGGGCCAGAGAGAAACTGCCGGATTGGAGATGGGCAACAGGTGCCTGAGTCATTACATACACCTCCTTCACGGGGCACCGCATCTTGGTTACTGCACT